CGAAACACAATCCTTTGAGGACCGCTTGGGCGTCACGATGCGCTTTCTCAGGGCGGCCGAGACCAGTTCCATGGGGGCCTTGTCAACTTGCATGTCACGCTACCCTCGGCTCCGGGAGTTCCTGGACAACCCTTATGACCCTGCCTGCCACACGACTCGCCTCCTGCAGCCGATTCGTGACCACGCGGTGGAATTGGCCCGGGAGCACGCCCTGGACGAGCTCGGCAAGGCCAGCACGGAACTCAAGTGGGGGGAAGAAATCGCTGCTAGGAGGCGCAGGAAGAAGGCCACGCAGTTACTTTACCGGCTTTTGTCAGGGAAGGGTGGTGATATTCGGGCCATCCAGAACGCCCGCGGTGATCACCTCACCGATCCCGTTGCGATGGCCAGCGCGCTTCGGGACCACTGGGGGCGCGTCTTCAAAGGTCGTGGTGTCAATGCGGAGTTGTTGCAGCAGTGGTTGGACGAGGATGCGGCCCACTGAGAAGAGCATGGCCTTGGCCATGAGGCTCCACACGGCCTTCGCCTTCGCAAGAGCCACCTCCGCAGGGCCATTCAATCTTCCAACAATTCGGCCCCAGGCCCGGACGGCGTGCCCTACGCGGCTTGGAGGTGCCTGGAGGATATCGCCGTGGACGTCTTGCACGAAGCATTCCAACAAATATGCAGCGACGACGCCCAAGCCAGCATCGACGCCGACTACTCGGACTTCAACTCCAGCATCCTCATCGTCCTTCCCAAGAAGGCAGTTGGGGTTACGGCCGACGGAGAAGATTTGCTTGACCCTGGAGGAGTGCGACCGCTCAACATCACCAACGAGGACAACAGGCTCTTGGCAAGCGCCTGTCGCATGATGCTGGAGCCAGTGCTCGGCCCTTTGGTTGTCGACGATCAGCGGGGCTTTATTCAGGGCCACTCCATGCTAAGCAACATCATCGACGTGGACGAAGCAATGATCGAGACTGCGGCGCAAGGGGAAGGGGGCGGGGCCGTCTTCTTTGACTTCGCCGCAGCCTTCCCGTCGATAGAGCACCAGTTGCTGATGGACTTCTTTCGCCGTTTAGGCTGGCCACGTTGTCTCGTCAATTTTGTCAGCAGCCCTTACAGGAACAAGTACTGCGAACTGGGTCTTGCTGGCGGACGCTACGCGGGCTTCGCCTTGACCCGCGGGATCCGGCAAGGCTGTCCGTTGTCACCGTTGTTGTATGCCGCGTGCTCAGAAATGCTGCTTCGCCAGCGCCTGTTCCCAGGGGGGACCACCTGGGCCTAGGCCGACGATCTGGCCTTGGTTCTAGCGAGTGCGCAGGAGCACCTCGGCCAACTGCAACAGTTTTTCGACGAGTTCCGCCAGATCTCCGGCTTGAAGTTGAACATATAGAGCACCTATCTATATACTATGGTCTGGAACTGTTTTTTCACGGATGGAGGGCGGGTCCTTGTCAAACTGTGGCTCTCGCCACAGCGCCGCGCACGCTACGTCTTTGAAGCTTGCAAGAGCGTCACGGATGACGAGCTACTTTTTAAAAATGTGTTTCTCGCCTCAGAGCTGCAGTTTGCAAGAGCTTCACGGACGGAAGACGGGTCCATTTCGAAATGTGGCTCTCGTCCCAGCGCCGCGCACATCCCTGTTCCAGGTTTACCAGAGCTTCACTGATGGCGGGCGGTTCCTTTTCAAAATGTGGCGCTCGCCCCAGCGCCGCGCACATTCGTGCTCAAAGTTTGCAAGAGCTTCACGGAAGCAGGGCGGTTACTGTTCAAAATGTGGCTCTCGACCCAGAGCCGCAGTTTGCAAGAGCTTCACGGACGGAGGACGGATCTATTTCAAAATGTGGCTCTCGTCTCAGCGCCGCGAAAATTCCTTTTCGAGGTTTGCAAGAGCTTCACGGATGTAGCTCTTTCGCGGATGGAAGGCGGGTCGTTTGCAAAACGCAGCTCTCGACCCAGCGTCGCGAACAATCATTACAGAAGTTTGCAAGAACGTCTCAGATGGAGAGTGCCAGTTCCGAGATGTGGCTCTCGCCCTAGCGCCGCGCACATTCGTCTCAAAAGTTTGCGAGAGCTCCCTTGATGGAGGGCGGACCGTTTTGAACATGTAGCTCTCCCCTTAGCGCTGCGCACATTCGTCTACAAAGGGTTCTTGTGGTTGACGTTCCAGAAATTGTGCGCTGGCACGATGTAGGACTGTCAGGGCGCAACGGTCACGTTGAATCGCGGTGCCGAAGTCCCATGGATGTTGTTCTGGCACGATGCAGGATCGCCAGGACGCAACAAGAAAGTTGATTCGCGTCGTTGGAGTCCAAGGAATGGTGCACTGGCACGACTGAGGATTCTCAGACGTTTGTCTTCCAACGGGACATTTCCAGCAGTGAAAACAAATTTGCGTATGGACCTGTGAAGACGGAACTTGGAGAGAGGGTTCATTGCAACATCGTTGATGCGCGATGGGTTTACATTGGTCCTCCTCCTCCTTCTCCTCCTGCTCCTCCTCCTCCTCCTCCATGTCCTCCTTTTCCTCCCTCTCATCCTTCTTTCTCTCCCAAAGGTGATCCCCCAAGGGAATTCACAAGGATTAGGAAAACGCATAGTTCAATGCCAGACTCTGGCCAAACGTTTGGCCACATGGGCGTTTCCAAAGGGGGGGCGGCTGTGGTTCGCCGGAGACGTCTTCGATAATCAACTGGGACCCTCGATGGGCCGATCTGGGGCCGGCCTTGGGGCCCATTTTGAACTGGATGTTCGCAAGGCGAAAAAAACGGCAGTGCGAAAACCAGTGAAAAACAATTGGCAATGATTTTGGCTTCGCAGACCCTGAGACCCTGGCGTACCCTGGCGTTAAGTCGAGCACGTCCATCTGCGGGGGGGATGTTCAAAAATAGTCACATAATCTGGGGGCGAGTTTTCTAGTATTTTGGGCTATGTTCGGCAATGTTTGGGGTATTTCTCACTTTCGCCCAAAATCCACCTGTAGGGGGACATGCCCGACCTAACCCTGGCGTCACATTTCTTTCACAGCATGCGAGTCTGCCTTGCTTCGGGCGCCAGGACGTCACATATCGGCCTGGCTCGAAAAACGTCGCACAGAAAGTGGGTCTGGGTCTGCGGTTAGGTCGGGCATGTCCTCCTACAGGCGAATTTTCGGGGGGGGGGGAAGTGCCCTGACTATCTTTTAATTTGAATGTTCCTCCTGCAGAGGGACATGCCCGACTCAAGGCTGCGGCCGTGATTATTCGAAGTCGTGTTTGTTGCTCGCCACGTCGGATCTCAGGGGAGGCCTCGTGGGGGCGATCTTGGACCGCTCCTGGAGCGTCTCGGGGGTTATGATGTTCCAACCTACTTCAGCCTCGATCACCAGAAAGAATTTCGGTCACCAAGAAACTACCGAAACTGGAAGGTTTTCACGCGTCGGGCCCTGGGAGGAGACACTCGTTCGACACTGCTTCGATACTTTTCTGGATGCTCGAAACTATTTCTGGGATGCGGTCCTCAAGTACGATGGGAGCAACAGGAGCCCAGGATCGACGACGCCTCGGGAGACGCCAGCGCGGCACGGTGCACCCAAGTCTCCCGCGGAGCGTCTGCAATCCGTGAGGGCCGCCGCCCCCTCCCCGAGCAGGAGGGGGAGGGGGGGCCCCGAGGACCCCCCCCCGCCCCGAGGACTTTCCTGGGTGCTCGACATGGCTTTTCTGGGATGTGCTCCTTAGCGCACGGTGGGAGAAGCACAGCTCGGGGGCCGCCGCGGCAGTCTCGGGGCCTCGCTTGGCCGCGCTGCCAGGTCCGCGCGGGCCGCCCTCCCGGCGCCTCGGGCCGTCGAAGGGGCGGCCCCGGGCCGCCGGGGGAAGCGGATCCCACCCACGGGAGGGCCGGGACAGAGCCCGGGCCCTCGCGAGGAGCTGGGGCTGCCTCCCTGCTCGGTGGCCTCCTGGAGCCCTCGGCCCGGGGATCTCCCGACCCGCGGGTCGGGAGATCCCCGGGCCGAGGGGATTGACCGACGGTCAATCCCCTCGCGAGGAGCTGGGCCCTCGCGAGGAGCTGGGGCTGCCTCCCTGCTCGGTGGCCTCCTGGAGCCCTCGGCCCGGGGATCTCCTGACCCCCGGGTCAATCTCCAAGCCCGGGGCAGTCAAGCCCTGCAGAAGCCTGCAAGATCCAGCAGCATCCTGCACCCAAGCCCGGGCCAGCGCGATGGATCCTGCAGGATCCTGCGGGATCCTGCACCCAAGCCCAGGTCAAGGCGACCCTGGCCCTGCAGGATCCTGCAAGATCGGGCGCTCTGGCTGACCCCCGTTTGCATTGACCCCCGTCTCTTGAGCTCCCCGCCGGGCAGGTCGGAGGCCTGGCCCTGTGAGGTCCCCCCCTGGTCTGGTCGGGCCGCGGGGTCCTGGTCTGGGGGGCCAGGCTTAGGTCGGGCATGCCCTCGTACAGGCGGGTTTTGGACAAATGGTAAAGAATTGACACACACACACACAAAAAAAAAAAAAAACGTCCCCGGACTAGTTCTTTACTATTTTCAGGGATTCGTCCTGTAGAGGGACATGCCCGACTTACGCCTAGGCCCCCCGTGCTGCGGTCGTGGTCGGTCGCGGCCCAAGGGGGAGGGGGCCTGGCCCCAGGCCCCAGCCACCATGCACTCAGGAGGAGGCGCGAGGAGGACGGGAAGAGGCACGACAAGAAGAGCAGGAAGGACGAGGAGGTGAGAAGAAGAATGAGGAGGGCGAGGAGAAAAGGAAGCGGCACGACAAGAGGAACAAGACGGGCGACGAGGTGGGGATCGGGGGCGTACGAGAGGGGGGCGTCCAAAAGAGAGAGGCTCGCAAATCATGGGCCGAAGCTTGTGCGCGGACGAGGGGGGGGTGGGGCAAGGGACGCAAGGAAAGAAGAAGAGGGTGCCGTGAAAGCTGGGGAGCCATCCTGGCCCCGCCCGTGATGTCCACCCCGACCCGTCCTGGTAGCCACCCCCCTCGTGGGACGCCCCCGGCGAGCGAGGCGAGGAAGAGAAAGCGCGCCTGGAAGTGCGGCACGCCCGGATGGCATTGCCGACGTCCTGGGAAAAACAGCACCGATACTGCTCCTTCTCCCTCCTCCTCCTCCTCCTCCTCCTCCTCCTCCTCCTCCTCCTCTTCCTCTGGACCTCTCCTGGGGTGCGCTCTGACCACACCATCGTGGCGAATCTGGCGGTGGCGACGAGGGCCGCCCCAGGAGGCCCAAGACGGCGAGAATGAGGGAATGGTAGCGGTGTGGGTATTTTATCCTCCTCGGACGTCCTTGTCCGTCCTCCGCGGCGCCCATGGCGGCTCCCCGCGCGCGCTGCCCCGCCAGGAGGAGGCGCTGCGATCGGAGGCGGGACCTCGCAGCACGTCGGCATCTGTTGCGGCGGCCGCCCTCCATTCAAACGGCGCGGCCGGCCGCAGCCCGGAGAGCTCGGGCGGCATGGGCTCCGTCGGCTGGTGGCGCGCTGGTGCCCATGAGGGCGCTCTGCTGCGAGGACGGGATTGTGATGCGTGCCCATCGCCTCGAAAACAGAGAATCCCGGGACACGAGGAGGCGGTACACATGGATATCTCGGGCCCCAATGGGAGGGTGAGTACTGTATCCATCTATATATATACATGCCTACACAGACGTGTGTATAGCATGTATATGTGGGCAATTGCAAGACAACTCTCCTTTTTCTCTATATCTCACCATCTATACATATATGTGTACTGATCTGTGCCTGCGTATCTATGTATAAGTAACAAGCGCACGTTCACGAGGGAGTAAAGTTCAAGGGGGCGAGTGCGAGACCAATCGTGTTTTTGCTTTGCCGCTTCGATCGGGAAATCTTCGATATTCTGAAAGCAGAACACACTCGTTACGCAGATCGCGCCGTGAGGGTCAAAAACCACAATGGGCGACCCACACTTAAACATAAACACCTCAACAACACAAATGCTTTCAATGGTGTCGCGCAGAAATCTTACAGCACCGCTTGTGTCCAAGGATTCAAAGTGTATTTCTTCAACTTTGGTATAATCGTTTGTTTTCCATACCCCAATGGGTTTGTCTCTACATTCCGTCTAATTGCAAGTTGTGGCATTCCCATCGATGACCCCCCGCTTCTTTACAACTGCGACCGCCAGGTGTGGACACCCCACCTGCGCGAAGCTCACCGCACGGTGCGGTAACCCCAGCTGCACTCGACTGCGACCCCCGCCTCTTGGAGTACATCCAGCATTTCGCTTCACTGGCATTTAGATGGAGATTCACCATACGTGTCTTCACCATCGACGGCAAATGTACTCATGGGCACCACGTACGGCGTCTTCGGAGACAGTAGGCGAGTCTCACTACACGCACCTGCTCCATCATCTCCCTGGGCACCTGTAAGCACAACTTCTATGGCTGCTAGTATGGTTATCATAGTTCGGTGTACCATGTTTGCATGTGTTCCTGGTTCCTGGGGTGCTTCTCACCATTCGTCTAATCGCAAGCTGCAGCAACCCCGGCGTCGATCCGCCACGTCTTCCCAGCTGCAGTCGCAAAGTGTGGAAACATCACCTGCATCAAACTCATCGCAAGGCGTGACGACCCCGACTGCGCTCGACTGCGCCCCCCCTACTACGCCACATTCTGAACACCTGACGGCGTCATCCCAGACTGTCCAGCAAGCTTGCGCACGGGAATGGCCATCCCCCCACTGCTCTGGCTTGCATCCTGCAGTCTTGTTTGTAGAAGCCTGGGCACGCAAGTGCCACGTGTGTGGAAACGAATGCGTATATCATGTGTATTACATGTAGAGACATATGTACATGTACATATGTGTATACATATATAGAATAGAACGCCTACGTAACTATATACATATATACACGTATATACATACACATATATTTACATATATATGTATATATGTATATATATATATAACAAAGATATATATATATATATATATATATCCAGGGCTCCCAAGGCGGCGGATGTGCATCAAAATCCCGGCCTCGGATCTGCCGCGTGGGCCGCCAGCCGCCACGGGGCCTGGCCGGGCCAGGCGGGCGAGCTCCTTCCGAGCCGAAACGGCTGCGGCTGGCGCCGTCAGCTGGGGTGCCAGCCGTTCCCCCATGGGCGGACCACAACCTCGATGGAGGAATAAGAACTATGCACATACACCGATTCTGGCCAGGCCCATCCCGAGCCCAGGATCAGTGCATACGCCCTCTTACCTTGGCCAGGAAGGTATATGCACCGATCCTGGGTCAAGGATGGACGTTTTTAGGATCGGTGCATGTGCATGGCTCTCTTCGCCCGACTTGATGGGCCTGCTTTCCACCACCACCACCACTTGTAAGTTGGAGGTGGAGGACGAGGCCCTCCCCCTCCAACGTATGGTGGTGGTGGGAAACAGGCCCACCACGCTTAGCTGCCACGGGCCTGCACAAGATGGCCGTCCTGCCTCAATGCTTGGACGGCGAGCGCCGCGGCCCCTGGACCGATAGCGGCACCGACAAGCGCCACGATGGCCACGCGCGGTCGCCCGCCGAGCGGCCCGCGCACGCATGGTGCGAGCGGCGCTCTTGGAACTCTGGCTGGTGGCCATCCCGTGCTCAGGCCACGACCCAGCAATTTACTGCAGACCCCGCCACCCCTCCGCGCAGCTGACCCCGACGTCCCATATGGCCCAAAGCCGGTCCACGACAGCTCCCGAGGAGGCCCCAGAGAGGCGCCAAGAGGCCTCTGAAAGACGCCCGAGGGGCTCCCGGTGAGCCCCGAGAGGCCCAAAAGATGCTCCCGAAAACCTTCGAACAGGCTCACATGGTGGAGCTTGGGACTTCAATGCTCTCAATATACAACATGAAAACCTGAATTGTTGCAAAGAGTGTGACCTTGTCTTGCTTCCGGGCGTCGATGGCGAAACTTGGCCGGGGCATGTTCCCATCAGTAGCTGGATGAATAAGAACTATATGTAACTTGCAGTGTCCATGGGCGCCCAATAAGAAAGTGCTCGGGAGGGTACTGGAAATTACCTTTAGTGTGACAGAATACTACATATCTGGTGCTAGCTACTATAAGTGGTGCAATGTATGTGGTCCAAGCGATGCGATGGCGCCGATGTGGTGCAGTTTGTGTGGCGCAAGCTACGCGGTGCAAGCTATGCGATGCGGTCTATGTGGGACAAACTATGTGGCGCAAGCTACTTGGTGCAAGCTACGCGGTGCAACCCTCACCAGTCAACACGTCGGCGCCCACGGGCGGCCAGCAGGCGAAACCTCAGCGGACGGCGGACACGGCCAGCGTACGGAGCGCCCACGAGGCGCGCACGGCTGACCGCCAAGCGACACCCCAGCGGACCCCACCAAGGCACGGGGCGCGCACGAGGCACCCACGACAGGCGGCCAACCAGGAGTCAGACGAAACCCCAGCGCACCCACCCAACGCACGGGCCACCCAAGAGGCGCCCACGACCAGCCACCAACTAGAGGCCTCCTAGATGGGGTCCGAGCAACTGGGGTCGGAGGATCGCGCCGCATCGCCGGTACATAGGCGATGTATCGGCGATGTATCGGCGATGCACCGGCGACGCACCGTCGATGTGGGCGACGCACTGGCGACGTCGACGTGAAGCAAATCGGGCTCCTCATCGAGCCGCATCGGCGATGCGGCGCGATCCTCCGACCCCGTCTACTCCGACCCCACCTAGGAGGCCTAGACCAACTGGGGACCAGGCGAAACCTCGGCGGACCCACCCGTCGTACGGGCCACTCACGAGGCGCCCACGACTGGCCACCAACTGGGCACCAGGCGAAACCCCGGCGGACCGCTCAAATTCCATCAGTAACCCAGGCACGTAAGGCTCCCTAAGAGCAAGCATTGCGTGTGGACCCATGTGCTGATTTTCCAGACTGCTAGCTTCTGGATGAACAGGTGACTGCGAGCTGCTAGCTACAAGCTCCAAACGACGCGTTCCAAGGTACTAGGTAATACAAACTCATCGGGGCGAAGCTGCTGGTTACAAGGTGTCAGTTTTGAGCTCCGAACCACAAGCTCCTGATATACAACGGACAAATATAGGGCGACGAGATCTATACATATCCACTGCTCCTGGCCAAGCCCATCCTGGGTCCAGGAGCGGTGTATATGTCCCCCTGGCTAGGCCACGAGGGCGTATGCACCGCTCCCGGGCTCAGGATGGGCCTGGCCAGGAGCAGTGGATATGTATAGATCTCGTAGCCCTAAAATACGATACGAACTAACAAATACTGACAAACGGCTGCGAAAGTGCGAAACGCCGGGTTCGTATCACACACACGCACAAATATACATGCTTACAAACAGACATGCAAGTGCGAGAGAGAGGGAGAAAAAAAAGAACGGGTTCGTGCAATGCGACCTTGAGCCTTAGGAAGCTTGGCCACACTGATCTCATCGTCTGTGTGGATATCGTAAACGCACACATGTCTATGTTTGTAAGCTTATATATATATATATATATATATATATATATATATATATATATATATATATATATGTAAGGATATGCGTACATGTCTATGTTTGTCAATACGTGGATATGTGTATATACCTATACGACCGCCCTGCGGGCGATTAGGAGGTTGGGGGGGGATTGTAATCAAATGCCCACCCTGACTGACCTCAAGCCTGTCACCTTGATCTGGATTGGATTGGGAAAGCTGAATTGGATAAGATAAGCTGGAATTGATCAGAAAGCCCGCCGCAGGCGCCGAAAAACATGAATTGATCGATTGGGTTGGGTGGATTGGATTGGATGGGATGAGATGGATTGGATAAGATAAGATGGGTTGGATTGGAAGAAGTGGATTTGATAAGATCAGATGGATTGAATTGGATTGGCCCGCCGCAGGCACAGAAACAAATGAGTTGATGGATTGGGTTGGGTGGATTGGATTGGGTGGGATAAGATAAGATGGGACAAGATGGGTTGGACAAGATAAAATAGATTGGATTGGACGAGATGGATTGGATAAGATAAGCTGGATGGGATAAGAAAGCCCGCCGCAGGCGCCGACAAAAATTGAATTATGAAAGTAGCGAAATGCGTTAGCGCCGGGACGCCCAGGACACCCGGGACACCCAGGACACCGCCCGGCCAAACTGGGACACCTCCCGGCCACCGGCGGACGGGAAACGGACTTTCGTTCCTACTGACACCCGGGACACCCGGGACACCGCCAGGCCCGACTGGGACACCCCCCAGCCACCGGCGGACGGGAACGGACTTTCGCTCCTACTTCGGCCTAGCTACAGGAGGATCACGCGCAGCTTCGCCTCGCCCGCACGCACGACACGAACACGAAACCGAAATCGATTTCCCGGCGGGGGGTCTCCGTTTCACTGCGATCTCACCCCCCCAACCTCCGATATATATATATATATATATATATACACACACACACACACCTATACGACCGCCCTGCGGGCGATAAGGAGGTTGGGGGGGATTGAGATCAAATGCCCACCCTGACTGACCTCCAGCCTGTCACCTTGATATCATCTCTCTCTTTCTCTCTGTTTCTCTCTCTCTCTCTCTGTCTCTCTCTCTCTCTCTCTCTCTCGCCCTCTCTCTTTCCCTCCCAATCAGAGCCTCCCTCCACCACAATGATGATCGCGATGACGATGAGATCCCACTATCTACCTATCCGTCGACCGACCCATCGGTGAATCTAACTGTCGATCTCACTATGAGCTTGTTTTTTTTATTGGGGGGGGTAACGCCCGTTACGGGGGGGGGGGGGGGGCCGGCCCCAAGTTGGGGGTAACGGTAACGCGCGGCGGGGCCCTCGCACGGGCCCTGCTACTTATTACCAGCACAACTGTCGGCACGGTAGGCTTCGTCGTCGTCGTCGTCGTCGCCGCTGTCGTCGTCGTCGAAGCCGACAGTGCCTGTGCACACTACACAGGCCCTGTACACCGCGATGCCTTTGTACACCACAACTGCGGCTGAAATGGTATGTGTGTGCACCACGGCGACTGAGCACATCATGACAGGCGGGTGCACCACAGCGCCCTTGTACATCTCACTGTTGGTGCACACCACGGCGCCCGCGTGCACCACAGCTGCTGTTTCAACGCCCCGCGTTTGCACCAGAATGCCAGCGTACACCACAAAGTTTGTGTACACCTGTAAGGTACCGGCGGAGCGAAAGTCGAGAAGATCGCTCGGGGACCAACCGTGGCCCTTTCATTATGTGAGCTGCTTGTGGATCTTAGTTTTTCTGGTTCAAAAAGCGCTCGGACCTGTTGAGCCCACAACGCCTGTGCACTCCATTGCGACTGTGTACATCATGGGAGTGTGAACCGTGGCGCCTGTGTATACCACATGGCATGTGTGCACCACAAAGCTTGTGTACGGTTTTTTTGTGCGGAGTGTAAACCACGCACCGTGGGGGCGCGCGGGGCGGCGGCAGCCTAGGGAATACAGGAAGCAGGAGCTCCCTGCACAGGCACAAGGCCCTTGAGACATGGGTTGACGGCTGGAGCGTGCACGCGGGTGCGTCGTCGTCGTCGCCGTCAGTTGCGACGGCGACCGGGGGGGCGACGGCGGCGGCGGCGGCGACACAGGCGGCGGCGACGGCGACCACGACGACGACGACGACGACGGCGGCGGCGACGGCGACGACGCCGACGGCGGCAGGCGGCGGCGGCGGCGGTGAAGGTGACCGCCGCCGCCGTCACCGCCGTCGTCGTCGCCGCCGATGCCGCCGTCGCCGTCGCCGCCGCCGCCGCCGTGTTCGCAGCCAGTTGCCGAAAGTTTCAGCAGCGCTTGCTGGATACACATGCGGGGGGCTGGCGTGACCAGCCGCGCGAGGTAGGAAGGCCGAGCGCTGGAAGGACATGCGGCCACATCCGCGCGCAGGTCTCGCCCAGTCCAGCCCCTTGCACCAGCACAGGGATAATGGAGGGAGGACAGTGGTAGTAGTCATAATGATATTGTGAGAGTGCACCGGCTGGTTGCGCCATGGCTTGCCCGATGCGTTACACCACACGTTGTGCTTGCGTACAATTACCTGCGCCATAGGTTGAGCCGTAAGCTGCGCCACAGGAT